CACCCCCCCCCCCCCACTGCCCCCTTACCTGCACTGCACCTCACAGCTGATATTTGGCTGGCTTGAGGCCTCCCAAAAGCTTGAGGAAGGCTTCTGCAGGCTTCAGCAAGCTTTGTAGGCTGAAAACCAGCCCCATTTTATCACTTCCTGTTTTTGCGGCAATACCGGAAGTGACGAAACAGGCGTAGTTTTCGCCCTATAAAGCTTACTGAAGCCTGCAGAAGCCTTCCTGAAGCCTTTGGGAAGCTGAAAAAGGCCTCAAACCAGCCAAAAATCAGCCGTGGGGCATGCGCATGTGCAGTGAGGTAAATTTGCCTGCAGCTTGCATGCTGACACAAATGGCTCTGCGTGCCACCTCTGGCACGCATTCCATAGGTTCGCCATCCCAGGTATAGGTTTCCTGCCTGAGCAGGAGGTTGGACTAGAAGACCTCCAAAGTCCCTTCCAACTCTCTTATTCTATTCCATCCTATCCTATTCTATTGTATTCTATTCTGTGATATACTCATAAAAATGTATGATTATTTTGCACTGCCTCTTTGCATACTATTATTACCTAGTTGTGAAGAATCAAACTTGCAATTGGCTCAGCTGAATTGTTTTGTTATATAGTTAATTAACTGTAGAGAGACAATATTACTGCACTTCAGAAAGTCCCATGCTGCTACAGTAATAAAATGTAATTATCTCTAACATGAAAAGTAAAAACAAAAGAGTACCTGAAATACACAGCTCCTTTTTCTTACACATTGAGCACTAATTCTGAGGACCTCATTTTTTATTTATAGAAAGATGTTTACAGAAATTGAAGCTCCCAAAAAATGAAATTGTGTTGCGAGGTTTTACTGATCTGTTCCAGGGAGGAAGCCATGAATAAAGCTGGTTTTAGAGACAAGTTGCTTAGTTTATTTTAATAACATTATTGATCATTGTCATATCTGAAATTACTTGAGAGTAGACGATAAAGAGCATTAAATTGGTGATCATTTGCATTGGGCAAATTGTTAATAAATCAGAATAATTAAGAGTGAAATTAGAACTTTCCACTCTGCTGTGCGTGAAAGCAGACACAAATGCGAGCAAAATCAATTTATGTGAATTAACCTGTGATGTACGGATTTATTATGGGTTGACTTAAATGAAGATTGATGATATCCTGTGCATTTTGGTAGCACAAATTGGCCAAACTAATTAATTCTGTTTTGTCTCATTGGTGAATAATGTAACATATTTCAGCCTCAGTTAACTCAGGGAAAATGAAGATAAACGAGCGATCTCTTGCACTGGTTTCTAAATGCTTCTCAAATCCAAGCACAGGTACAGGAACAATCATGATTAATCACAAGGCTCAACATGACTCACTCTCCCCAGTGATTGATGCTGTCAATAAAACTTTGTTTATGTCTACAGGGAGAACAGTATGTCCTTCATGCTTTTTCTGACAAGTGTTTCAAATTTTAATTTGCCATTTGGATAATAAGCCTTGAAGCAGAGGTGCCCAAACATGGCAACTTTAAGAGTTGTGGACTTCAACTCCCAAAATCCACAATTCTGGGAGTTGAAGTCCACAAGTCTTAAAGTTGCCAAGTTTGGGGACCTCTGCTTTAAAGAAAACTCAGGTAACTTTAACTTGGCAGAAACCAGTTCATAGGATTTCTGCTTCGTGTGTGGTGTTTTCATCATCTGAACTTAGTTAAGCCACTGTGACTGGGAACGTCCTCCAAATTTCATGTCATATTGTGACAGAATGCCCCCTCAGAAAGTTCCCTGGATCCCTGCATGAAATACATCATCTCGAGGACACTGCTGTCTAATGGATGGATGGATGGATAGGTAGATGGTAGGTGATAGATAGATGGATGGATGGATGGATGGATGGATAGATAGATAGATAGATAGATAGATAGATAGATAGATAGATAGATAGATATGATAGATGGATGATAGGTAAGTAGATTAGATAGATGGATGATAGGTAGGTAGATGGATGGTAGGTAGGTAGATTAGAGAGATAGAGATAGATAGATATAGATAGATAGGTAGGTAGGTAGATTAGATAGATAAGAGAGATGGTAGGTAATAGATTGATAGGTGATAGATAGAGAGATAGAGAGATAGATAAGATATCCAGCCGAAGGTTTAACCACCCCAGTGACTGCTCATACATAATTTTATTCATAGTTTTATTCATTTATATTGTGTGTTTTTGAAATAATTTACTGCTCTGACATTTTATATTTCAATACACATTTTATATGCTATTTTTGTGATTTTTTTAATCCATTCTGTTATGCTGTACGAAATGATGCATGTATAGGTAGTCCTCTTACAATAGTTCATTTAGTGACTGTTCGAAGTTACAACGGCAATGAAAAAAGTGACTTACGACCATTTTTCATATATATGATCATTTCAGCATTTGATCACAGTCATGTGATCAAAATTCAGACACTTGGCAGCTGACTTGTATTTATGATGGCTGCAGTGTCCTAGGGTGATGTAATCCCCTTTTGCAACCTTCTGACAAGCAAAGTCAGTGGGAAAGGTGGATTCACTTTATAACTGTGTTACTAACTTAACACCTGCAGTGATTCACTTAACAACTGTGGCAAGTTGTGCAGGTATTAAGGTCTTAAAATATAATCATTACATACTTTACTGAGATAATGTATTGAAAGATTACACTCTCAATCCTTATTTATTTAGTGTATGGAAACCTAACATTTTCTGTATTAAGCAAGGGCATTTTTGAAAAATTGAGTCCAAAGTTCTGCATAGCCAGCCCTATCTAAAGTAAAATATAGTTTTTTTTCCCTATCTTTTTAGGAAATCCAAACCTTTAAAAATTAAACAGCCAATTGGTATTATTTTCTATTTCCAAAAGTAATAGAACCTATTTCAATATAGATACAGGAATTTAGTAGCTATTAGAAGAAAAGTAAGCTTTGTATTAATCACTTCTTACCTTAACTTTATTTCTTCAAAGCAAAATAGAATCTAATATTTTATTTTATTTTTTTAAAATATTTATACAGCTGCCCATATTTCAACTAACTCTGGGTGGCTCCCCATCAAAGATTAAGACATGTTTTGGTTCCTTTTAGGGAGATTAAATCAATTAACTGAAATACTTGGACTTTTTAACCAGTTATGTGTGCTTGACAAGAAAATATATTTTTCTTAGGAAAATGTAATTTGAGGAACTTTTAGACAATGTTTGCATTGATAAATATACTTTGAGTAGCAGAAATGAAACTTTCAAATTGCTATTTTTGTGTAACAAACATCTTTTTTTGTTTACAGGTTTTGGATAAAGCAGAACAACTGCGTGAGTTGGAAGGAAATATTCTGCCAGGTTTTCTTAGACTGCAAGAATTGGTAAGGGAGCCACGTTTCATTATTTAAAAATGAAATCTCTGGCATATCCTGATTGATTTAATGAGTATATTTCTAAAATTAAAAGTGGCAGGTCTAACAAATCTGACAATAAATTTTACAAAATTGTTTTTTGTGCGTTTTTAACAGGACAATTTTAATGTGAGATAGCTTTTTTGCTTGCAAATTTAGTCAGTTGTGTGTCTTTTGAGTTTAACTACTTTTGTTTATTTTATTAACTTGTCTTTTGTGTTGCGATTTGTGATCTATCAACAATTTGAAAAGTTCTCTGACTAAATTTAAAGGATATTTTCTTAATACCCACCGCAGCTGAGCATTTTGTTTGAAGTTTTGGATAATCCACAGCTTTGTTTCCCATAAGACATGTTGCCCTTAAGGTCAATATAAATTTTGCAAAAATGGGAAAGAGAGAGGAAGATAAATGATGGGTGATTTTTTTTAAATTAAACTTTTTTTGCATTTTAAGCAGAAACCGGTACCAGTGGACAAATCATGCTATGTAAATATGTCAGTAGAGGTAAGAGGTTCAGAGGTCTAAGTAAACTAGGTTTTAACAAAATGGACGAGTTAGAGAGTAATGAAATTGATTTGTTTATTTTGTACTTATAGTGACATGTCAGGATGATGGTAAGAAATACGTGCAAATAGTTTTGAAGGCAAGAAAACAATTGTTTCGTGTTTACTTCAAGATTGTGTTTTGCTTTTTTCTGCCCCC